AAATAACAAACCACTTTCATATTACCTGTGGCACTTTTTGAAAAAAGTCATTTGAAAGTCCAAACGTTTGCTCAATTTTGTATATATATATATATTTTTTAAATTAAATATGAGGTCAAAATCTATTTAAGAAAATAAAGATAAAAGCAACTATAAACTACAAAGTATACCTTTCCTGCACCGTGATGATTTCCCATTAGACCAGTACATCTTTGCTCTGCTTGCTCTTAATTGTTCTGTTGGCATTTTCTACCCAGGATCATTTATACACCTTGTTATTGGTTTTCTCGGCCCATTCTACCTCTTTGAGTACAAGTGAATAAACAATATCATCTAATCTAATCAGCAGTCAGACTCCTGCAGGCTCAATATCTTGATATCCATCTGACACCTTCAATGGCGACTCCACCTAATTACATCCCAGTGCTGGAATGAACTGTATGGATTTAAGTTATCTCACTTGTGATGTGGACACTTCCTGGGGCTCTGTGAGTGTGTGGCCTGGTTCAATCAATCACTTGCTTCTCAAGTACAATCATTAGAGTAGGAGCCTGGATTTTCCTCTCCTGCATGATAATTAATCACTTCAGTGCAGACTGGCCTATCGGTGAAATAGCCCTTTTTGAAAGGTCTCTGGTTTGATCTCCATGACAGCCAAAGCATCCAGTGAAAACTATGTGTCCTTTTGAAGTGTCCTTGAGCAGGACTCCAAACCTCTCCCCTTTCATCCGCTCTCATTGCTCTCTGCGCGAGAGCTCTCGATACAAGTGTCAGCTAAATGCCCGAACACGCAGCTTTAAATGGAGCGTGTCACTTTGCATTGGAGCCACAGTTTCCGCTGCCTGCATGACAATTAAGCACTTCTTGGTTGACTTGAAGGACAAGTTTGGAAGGAAAACGAGGAAAGAAGAAGGGGATGAACTCTGACAAAGATGGAGAGATGGGTTGAGTCGAAAAGAGAGCAAGATGATGAGGCCAGTGGGATCCCAGGAGGTGAATGGAGCATCTGTCATATTGCTCACCAGCATGTTAATGAAGCCAATGGACCAGCAGAGCTTAGTGGGCTGATGTGTCAATGTCACGCAGAGGACGAGTATCATGGTCGTTGTGGCAAAAAGAAGAATGACACTCCAGGTTATCTGCTTACACTCATATACCTAAAGGTTTATGAAAGAAACACCCCAGGAAAAATGTTATATGTTTAATGCTTATTGCAAGGATACAGCAAAAGGTTACTTCTTGTGAAATACTCAAAATTTAAGTTTTAAGTTCAAGAATTTCAAAAGTAAAGCAGTGATTTAGAAGTAAAGCATGAAGCAATCAAAGCGTGTTGAAAGCCACAGAGACGCAGTGTTTAGAGAAAATGCATCTTAACTGTTGAGATACTCCGGACACATGAGGGATCACTGAGGTTGTCCTTCCCTCCTGGATCGGCTGGAGCTTTCTTTAGGTGCCTTCACAGGTTTGACAAATGTCCAGCTGGGATAACCACATTTACTCAGCAACGTCTTGCTCTCCTGCTTCCCTGGCCACTGTGTCTGTGGGGATGGTGTTTGATCTGTGTTGTAGCGTCCTGATGGCGCCCAGTTTGTGCTCCAGTGGATGTAGGTTTACGGTACGCATCAGCTTTTAAATGTCCCCCACTACTGATGGAAATCTCACAGTCTAAGAAGGCCAACCTGCCACTTTTCATATCCTCCCTGATGAATTTGATGTGTCGGTCCACTGAGTTCATGTGATCCCTGAATTTTGGTCGTCCTGAGATTTGATTTTCACCCACATACCTGAACCAATGACTCAGTGGGGTTCCACTGTTTCCATGTAGACGTTGGCCACAATGGGTGAAACTGGGGAACTCATGGCACATCCACCCCCCCATCCACCCACCCACCCGTCCACCATCTCATAGTTATTCTTGTCACACAAATTGTTTTTGTGCTCTAATCAGCTGTTCAAGCCTTTTCACAGTGAAATCGAATCTTACTTTAATGAATTTACATCAAATATCAATCTAATGATAACAATCTGAGCGACTCGATATTAAGGGAAGAACCAGAAACATTATGACCGAAGCTTCCTGCACATACAGATTGTGTGGCATTTAGAAAAGTGCAGCTGTTTGGAGACGGGCTCTCTCTGCGAAACAGAGCCTGAGAAACTGACATATTTTGCATCTTAAAAGATACTAATTAGTAAAATAAAGCTGATGACCTAATCGTTAATGTCTCCATGTCTCATGAATGTTGCGCATTAGATACTTTTTCCATTGCAGTGGGAGCGTGTTGGGCAGGCTAACGTAGCTCTTTATATCTAACTGTTTACAGGTGATCCTGCATCCTTTGTTAGGATATGTCTCCAGTGCTCGGTTTGCTTGAACATATCTGTGAGCAGCATGTATGTGCAGAATATAAGTTTCCTGAAGAGCCTCATTGTAGTTTTTACAAGACAAAGAAGCAGCTGCTTTACATCCATCTGAGCTCCTTTAACTCGCAGGGAGTGTGAGCGTCTCTGCCCAACGGGACAGTGTGACAGTCTGAGGTCACTCTGCTTGTAAACGGTGCATTGCTCTTTTGGGGGTGGGAGTGAGTAACTGCCCAAATGAATAAGCATCATGGGTTTTTGTTAACGAGCGTGGGCGAGATGGAGTCTGAATGTGCCGCATCAGCAGAAACAGAAACGCTGCGCTGGATTGTCGTGGTGAAGTGGGACCACTGAATCAAAGTTACTGCTGATGATTCTCAACATTTTCCTCTGTGTGAAATTTACCAGTAATTCCTGTCGAATATTGGCAGATTATCAGTAGTAGCAAATTCAAACAGCTGGAGTGTTTTGTCTCCCGCTGCCTTTACTGTGTCGACATATATGTAGAGATGCTGACTTAAGAATCCCTTTGCGTCTCCTCATTAAATCACTTGCTGAGAGGTTTGCAGGAATATTATGCAGGGATACATTATGCATTTGTATGAAGTTCACAATAATGCAGATTAGATATTTGGCTCAACTGGAAATGTTCTGTTTTGTCAGAGGGAATGATACTGAGCTGTACAGGCCATTACCAGCTCACAGAGACACGCATGCTAATGTTCTTCAGCTGGGAACAAGAGCTGCTTTCAAACGTCGCACCACAAAAGCGCATACATACCATTTGCATAAACAGAGTGTGTGTGGGTTTGTTTGTGCGTGTGTGCATAAGCCAGACTTGTGAAGCAAAGACAGTGCAGCTACATTTCTGTGTGTCTGTAAATAACTTCAAGAAAGTGCACTTTGGTGTCCTTGAAACCAACTGGCCAGAGACTTTTGCATCTGCCGTGTGGAAACAGGATGCCGTGTGGTTCCTCAGATGTGAGCTGAGTGCTGTTAAACATATATATAGCTTTGCTCTTATGGCAGTATAGAGAGGAATGCTTACAAGTTTATAATGCACATTTTTAGGCTTCCAGAAATTTTAGTTTTATGTCTCAATGCTGCTTTTGTTCGTGTCCAGACTCATGACATCAAAACTCGCAGCCTCCGCCACAGCTGACTGTAGGAGAATAGCAGGGACATCAAATTACATTAAAATGTCCAATAATACAGCTGTCACTGACCCACATCACATCTGTTCTAAGACTAAGAGATCTGAGACAGATTTTAGCTTTAGTTTTTGGAAAGATCTTATCATGTTCGGTTCAATTTAAATCTAAATAACTTTCTAAATAATTAAGTTTCTAAATAACGAGAGCAAATGTTAGATATGTACTGAAACCTCCACAGCCAGTCGTGGGCTCCTGGTGTGAGGAGGCTGCTGCTTGTCTGATTGGTGAAATGTTCTTGGTGCATGCCATGAAGAGGCTCACGGTGCTGTGATGTCATTGTTCCAGTATTAATAAGAGATGTTTAAAGTTGGTAGAGAAATATGTTTACTGCAGAAGCCCCACATTCCTGAGCTGCAGCTCTTCATTCACTGAACCAAAGCAGTCGTTGAGCATTTAGTTCTTTTTGACAGATTCAAGAATGGAATTTGGAAATAATGTCTGGGCTCGTAAATATCTGCTCTGCAAGTAAAAACACCTTTTCTGTTTCCCTGCAGTGTACCTGGGCGTGACTAACCTGAGTACCTATCAGGTGAGGATGAACGGGCTGTGTGCCCAGTGGCAGCCTCACCGACATGCCAGCGCCTACAGAGTGGCCCTGGAGTCGGCGGTTGGTGAGTGCAGTGATGGCAGCGTGATTTTAAAGGTGGTCTTATTCCTTCTGTGTGATGTTTTGCTCGTACTGTGTATGTAAGCAAATGAAGGTCAGCCTGAGGCGTTTGTTGCATCATGTGAGTAAATATTTCTCAGTATTAACATTTTAAACTTATGAACCTGTTCTCATCATGAAGGTTTGTAGTTATTATATTTGCAAGTGGAATTCCTTTCATCCCAGTATCTCTGCTTGACTACGTGCACAATCTCAGGCTGCTAAAAAAAGACTCGTTTGTAGGTGGTGGAAGATCTGTCAGCACGTTGGACGGTTCCAGTGTTTGTGCCAAGCTTCGTAGGCACACCAAGGAAACACATTTCTGATCTCTCGTTCTGAATTAGGGAAAGACATTGTGCATGTATTTTATTAATGTTTTAAGGTTAGATTATTGAGAAGTACTTACAGCTTTGTTTGCAGCTGTGTGAACATGTGAACCCCAAACATCCAGGTCACACGTATGGATACAACACAGAGCAGTTTGGATTTCCTTGTCTTTAATAAGCACACAGTCTCACGGCGCACACCTGGAAGAAGAAAAAACGAACTCTGCGCTCTGTTGGAGGAAGAAGGCCTGCTCTTTGAAACTGTGAAGCACCGTGGAGGGAGCGTCCCGAATCGGGGCTCATTTGGCACCTTGGGGCACGGATGCCTTCCAATAACTTGGAGAGCAATAAATTTCAAAAATGTGTCAAGAAATTTCAGAGGAGAATGTCAGGGAATCAGCCCGTGACCTGAAACAAATAAATCGAAACCATAATGATTGAAAAAGAATACAAAAGGTCCCAACATTAACCCAGCTGAGACGATGCAGCAGACCTCGAGTGTGCTTTTTCAATCAAACCGTCCCACAAGTGCCGATGACCCGGAACCCTTATATAGGAGTTCTCCTCATTGTTGTGCGAGCTTTATGAGCCATGAGAAGAAATGGTTGCTGCTGTTGGAGCTAAATTCAAAGGTTCGCTACCTTCTCCCACCCTGCACGTGATTCCTCAGTCTGTCCCGTTTAGACATGAAAATGACTCAGATGAAGATCTCACCGTTCTCCTCCATATTTATATAAAGCTCCTATAAACACTGTTAAAACAAAACAGTAATCTTGCCAATAAGCTTGTGTACCAGATCAATATTCGATTATCTTTGTGTGCCTGCAAAGCTTGGCACAAACACAAACGCTTGGCTTTACAGTGGGAGTCACTGAATCAAGAAAAACCTGCTTGCACATATTTTAAATACACAATACGCTAAATTTTCAGTGTGAATTCTCAAACATTTTGCTGCTATATGTTTGGAGATGTTTGCAAATGTGCGAATCTGAACTCTTCTCCCATCATGCTGCTGGCTTTGGATTAAGGCGAGGAGTTAAACGTGACAGTGCATCGCTTTAGCATTTACAAAATACTGCATGCGTAACTGTAATTCTTCCCATCAAACTCCTACGCTGCATATCCAGTGCAGTAGGAGAGCAGCCTCATTCATACCCGCATGCTTTCATCAGTAGGAGTTTCAGTATGTAGCTGAAGCAGAGGGTCCAATTTTCTGAATCCCTAAGCAGCCGGAGATGACAAAGATATTGTTGTATCCCATCTGAGACGTGCTGACACTTTAAAGGTTTAGCTGTACAATCAGACACTGTGCCGCTCTGTAGAAAAGGAAGGCTTACGGATCACAGCACGGGTGACATTTACATTTGCTGCACGAGGTAAAATAAAGCGAACAAAAAAGACAAAAGGTCGCGATTACGGCTGCCGAGCGAGGAGATGTGCTTGTTACAGCAGTGACAGTAATTATGCCCTGTTGTGTCTATTCTCAGAGGTAAACTTTAAGGAGGGGGAAGGAAAAAGTACAGTTATTTTCTTCTTATGAAGTTTTCTGTTGAAGTTTTGGTTGCACCTGCAACTTCTTTCCTCTGATTGTGACAATATATTTTTTTAAAACAATAAAAACTGAACTGCTTCTATTTAGAGTTCATTATGTGTGGGAGTGTGAAGAAGAAGGGAAGTGAAGCCTGCCGTCTGCATGAGTCAGTGCGCGCGTAAACGGCAATCAAGCCGTGCATCCCAGCGTTAGCTCGAAGTGTGCCGAGACTCTGGCAAATTCAACAGATACGTTCTGCTTGCAGAAACGTGTTTTTGTTTATAGCCCACCGCTGACGTTCTTTTACTAGACTGTCAGCTAATTAACTTTAGTGTCATGCTAAATTATGCCTGCATCGTTAAACATAATAATATAAGCTAGGTGGCTGTAGTGGCTCAGTAGTACTTGGTTTATGTATGTATAGCAAGCAAAAGCCCCCGGGTTTGATCCCAGGAGGAGACGCAAACCCCTCGGCGGGGGGGGGGGTCTCGAAAGGGAACCCAGAGTATAAATCTGCCAAACATCAAACATGCGACAGTACCTGCTGTGGCGAGGCCTTGTGAAGAAGGAAGCAGTTAAAGTACAAAGGTGTCTGCACGTGTGAGTAATAATAATAAATGTTTTTACGGTGAGATTATACTTTTAGACGCGCAACAGAAGGAGAAGCACCTTTAATAAGTTTTTTATGTTATTTGCTCTACAAAGTTTGATTCAGGATAGGCCGACATGTCCACACATCCTGCTTCTGCCAAAGGTTTCTTCCAAGTGCTTGCTTATAGGGTCCATTTGACTGTTGGGGTTGTCTCTGTGTTACTGTAAGGTTTACATTACCAGGTTTTCTAATACATGGTTCACCTATGATCCTTTTCTAAATGGAACCAAGTAGATCGTGTCCTTATAATCAGATATAATATGTCCACTAAAATCCTGCGTTTGTCCCTTACATCCCTCACAAACATGTCTTTATTTAGAATTTAGCTCTGCACTTCCTCCACTACAGAACAAATTGGCTGCAAGGCTTTTTTACAGCATTTTGATTGGCCGCCAGTGATGGTCCCCAAACCAATATTAACTTGATGTTCTAGGAAGAAAAACAGCCACATGGCAACAGCAGATACACTTTCACATTACCTCCAGTGTCTGTTAAACTCTCCTGAAACTCTCTGCAATTTATTTATGAACTGATGAACTTGAATGTGTTTGTTCGTCAGCTGCCAAACAGGCCACTGCACCAAAGTCACCTCTGTGAAGCAGCCTTATGCTTATAAAAGTCATTTCCTCAGTTATGATTCTGTGCAGCCACCAACAAAAACAATAGTTCTTTGTCTGACACTGAGAACACGTCCAAATAGCATCAAACAACAGATGGTCTGGCCCTGAATCGATTTTAAACATCCACCACTCTGTCAGCACCTCAAAGCTAAGACTAACTTTTAATACAGCCGTCATCCACCAAATAGGAAAGTAATAGCTGTTATTCATCACCTTTAGGCGTCCAGCAATAACACTGGCGTCATTAACGTCACATAAAAGGCACAAATTCCCCCGTGTCTCCTCGGGGAGATCCAATGTGTTGCTTCTCTCAACACACAATGAAGCTAAATAATGACTTGTGTTAGAACAGCTGGTAAATAATTACACCTGCTGCTGAGAATGGGGGAAATGTGTGATTATCCTGTTTTATTATTGAACAGGCTGGAATTTAAAGGGAATGGAGGGAGGTAAATTTAGGGAATAGGGTATAGAAAGAAAGACGGAGTGTAAAGTGTGTTTTCATACATCCTCCTGCAGGACAGAAGGATTTACCATGTTCAGCTAGAATTTACAGAAACAACTCTTTGATCTTTTGCTGCACAGGATCAATTCTTCAGCCTTATTATGGTCTTATCCCAGTTTAGCTACACAGGAATGTTGTGGTGCATTTAGGCGTCTCATAGGTTCCTCTGCCTGATGACTCCCTCACAGCTCGAGCTTCCAGCCATCATCAATGTGATTAAATCATGTCACAGATTATATGCAGTATTACTCATAGCGGCACTTCTGGCATGGATTCTGAGGGATTGAACTCTGTTTGATGATGCCTGAGGAAAAAGGAGCATTTATGGGTTCAGTGACCTTCGGTGCAGAGGTGGCGAACTCCAGGCCTCGAGGGCCGGTGTCCTGCAGGTTTTAGATCTCACCCTGGGTCAACACACTCAATCAAATGATTGGTTCATTACCAGGCCTCTGGAGGACTACGAGACATGTTGAGGACTTAATTTAGCCAAATAAATCAGCTGCGTCCTGCTGCTGCTCACATTGGTTTGATTCACTTGACTTGACGTAAACTGAGATTTTTCCACCCATACACTCCCACCTGTGTAGTTTCGTGGTGAGCTTGACCTTCTCATTATCTTTGCACTCGATGCCTCTTTAAGTCATTAAAATGTTCCACCAGTTCCCTGTAATGAAGTGAATGCTTGGTGTTTCATGGATAACAGGTTTTTCTTGGAAAGCTGTTTGACATGTTACCAATGGACCCTGACTGTTAGGATGGAGTGAACAAGTACAACAGGAAGGTGTTTGATTGGTTCAATAATTGGATTTGATTCATCAATTATTAACAAACCGAGCGAACAGTAGCATCCTAATGACAACAAAGATAAATAAATGCTTTCATTTTCAATCTGTGACAACGTGCTGGGTTTACGATGTGTGCAGATTGTTCTACACACTTGCATGTGCATGCACTTGCTTTTATTTCTGCATGTGACAAATACAGAATCATTTTTGAGAAAGATAAAGATGTTCTTTGTACTTTTGTTGCAGGCAGTCAGAAGCAGGAGACGAGACTGAGCGGGGGAGCGAGCAGGCACTGTTTCAACAACCTGAAGCCCAACATGCAGTATAAGATCAGCATCTACGCTCAGCTGCAGGACGGGACCGAAGGGCCTGCAGTCACCACCGCTGAGAAGACACGTAAGGACCTGAGCTTTGAACACACGTGTCATTCACATGTTGCAGGTCGAGGTGCACTGCAGCTCCACGACTGGATTTCTCCTGCTGCTGCTATTTTAAGAGCACTGCACAGAAGCCTCGTTTACATTTACACTTGTGTGTCTCTGTGTGTGCTGGGTTGCTTCCACTCTTTCAAATTGGGCACACTTATATATTGCATGCCATTGCACAAGATCTTAATTTCTGACGCCAGTGGCCAACGTTTATCTGATGCCAACGTGTCCATTTATCCCCGGCTAAATATTCAACAACAGTGTAATGAGTGCAAATATTTCACAGTAAATGCATTTGTTGAGGGTTTCTCCACACCCCCAGAAACTCTTGAAATCAATGCCTCAAATAAGCTTAAAGATTTATTTTTAAATCTTAAAACGTTGATACTTTTCACCAGAATATAACGAATCGTGTTTTGTGATGCCAAAGTTTAAAATGTAAAACGTGGCCTCCAGGTTGCTGACAGCTGCTGCCGTGTGTATTTTGGGCAGAAGGTTTTTCCAACTTGGCTTTGTGGGACTCAAAGCAGTGATGGCCAACACAGGACTGAGTCAGGCAGCTCCAACAAGGCAGGCTGCAGCAGTCCCCTACATTTATTCAGCAGTTGCAGATACAGACAAAGAATAGTTTGCATTAATGTAAACACAGCAAACAGCTGGTGTAGAGAGAGCACGTGGGAATTCATGTAGTTTCATTGAGTTCTGATTGGTTATGTTGATCGTTCATCATGTCTCTGGAGAAACAAAAGAAATCCACTGACAACAGCTGTGCTGCAAATATTTATTGTAATCGTCAATATCAGCCTAAAATTTCACGGTCCCTACATGACCTTTGTGTGGAGACTGGCCACTTTTATTTCTGATAGGGATGCATGTGTGTAGTATTTCCCATTTAGTGTGAGACAAATGTTTCAGAGCAGGCGCTCTGTTCTTTTTCTTATTTGTGTGTTCTATGAGAGAACTAATGTGTACGACCGTAATGCCGTCGCTCAGTCATTCTCGGGCTCGTTTATTTCGACCACAAACAGAGGACTGAAAACTTTGGCTGCCTCTAAGGTTGTCAGATCTGCAGCCAATTTGAAGCTGAAAAACTGGGAAATCCTGTAAACTGCTTTTTGATGTGCAGCGTTTCGCACAAACCCACTCGTGCACTCACCGCCGACACATCCAGAAGTACTTTGCCTCCTCCATTCGATCTGCCAAACGCCCGTTTTAAAAGCGCCCTTACATGTGTCATAATAACAATATAGCAGAAGCACACGGCGGGAAACACACACAATTATACACAAACTGCTGTCAGCTGTCATCGGTTTAAGAAGAAGCCCGGTCCGGGCTGGGAGGACCATCACGTCATTTTCAACATAAAACATCTTTTATCCTCGCCGGAGCGCCGAGTGCTGAATCCTCTTCCTTTTCAGGATGAGCCTTTTGTTCTGCAGCAGCAGCCCCAAACACTAATCAAGACCCACTGTCTGGAGACGGGAGGGTGACGGGGTGGGTGGGCTGTTGTTTTATTTTCAATGAGGCCCGTGTGCAGTAAATTCACTACTCGCTTTAGTTACGTTCAGCTGTATTCAACACTTTAATCACCAGCTTCACTGCAGAGATGAAGAAGTTTTAATCAACTGCTTTGAGAGCGCACACGTCAGCGTGTCTCACGTGTCACTTTATAAGATCCACCGTGTGTTGAAGAAGCGCTCGAGATCACAGCCAAAGCTGCGCGACGGTGCAGCTTTAATAACGAGTCGACCAAATAACTGGATACAGGTTTGTTTTCAGTCAGCACAGCTGTGAGACTCACAGGGTTCCAGATGGATGCAGATATGTGCGTGCTGTTTTATCTGCTTTCCATTGTTATTGCAGCAATAGCAGTATTGATTTAGTAACGGCACTTGATTAGTACAATCAGCAGAGGGTGTAAAAAATACAATAAAATGGATAAAATAAAAGTTTTTGCAACTGCAGGCAAACTCAGTTTCTGATAAATAAAAATGGCGACGCCCTGCTGATGAGAAGTTATTTGGCTAACCTCCCATTCCTGGCTGTTTCCTCTGCACTGTGTTCAGCGCTGCTCTGAGTTGTACGGTGCAGGTGATGATCACTGGAGGTCCTGCTCTGCTCTCATCTATGTGCACATTTGCAGTTTTAGCTCAGACCCACAGACCAACTTTTACTTTGAGCACTTTTATTGTTCCTGAGGTCGCCGTGAGTAAACTCAGAGGTGAGCAGCCTGTTTCCTTTGCCAACTGTCTGCAGTGCACTGAAGTGAAGTGAGAATGACGAGCCGGGAGAAAAGCATAGTTCAGAGGCGGCACGGAGACGAGAACCTGCAGAATTGAAAACGAGACAAAGAAAATATCCAGAGATACAAGAAAGAATGTTCCCTCCTCGAAGCTAAGCAGACATTTGTTTGCTTGAAGCTGCTCCCCTCTGTACCGCAGCTCTGCAGTGAGCCTCCACAATGATTTATTGCTTTGTTTTGATGCAAATGAAAGCCAGAGCCTTTCCTCCAAATGACTATCCCCATCGCTGCAGGCAGCCACTACTGAATGCTCCCTACCTGCCATCACAAGTAATTCTCAGCCTCAGGTAGCTGATTTACTGCCTAAACAGCGCTGAGTGCATAAACGCACAAAGACGCTCAAAGACACACGTAGAATACAGGCAGGAAGGCAGAGACAGTGGGAGTGCGCGTTGGACCGCAGCTAACACTGTGATCAGTGCAGCAAATTATACATGAGCTGAATGTAGTTACTGTACACGTTTGGGCCATACGTGAGCGCTCTGTGCAGTTTCACCGCGTGTTTCACTCAGGGTCATGTGGCACACGAGGGTTGTTTTGTTATAGTTACAGGTTGTCACATCCTCATGTGTTTGTTTGTTCTGCAGTACCCGTCCCGACCCCGCCACCCACCAAGCCCCCGACCACCACGCCTCCACCCACAATCCCTGCTGCCAAGGAAGGTAGGAGAGCAGTTCTAATACTGTTATTGATCGTCTCACCTTTCGATCTCTTTATGTTGATGTATTGTTGTTGATGTGTTTTGGTGACATCAGGCTGCATCCAAACAGCTTCTTTTATTTATTTCTTTTGCTCAGTTTTCAATAAATATGTATAAATATTTGACTTGTTTGTTTTTATGAAACGTTTTGCACAACCAGCTTTGATATTCTGATTCGTAGCAGGAGACCTTTTATTGTTTTACAGGTGTGCAGTCAGATATGTCAGTGGCCCCCAGCCCCCGGTACCGGTCCGTGAGTCGTTCGGTACCACGCTGCGAGATTTCAGGCTCGGGTGTGAAATTTCTGGCTTTCAGAGTTTTTATCGTTAACTTGGTTTGCCTGGTTTTATTGTGTCTTATTTTGAAATAAATATTTACGCGTTACCATAGCGACCGGAGAGCATTAAGGGGCAGAGAGGAGGACGTTACTCTCAATGCTGTTGGTGCATTTCAGGAGGACGCTGCTAATAACGTTACACAATTACACAGTACGTCCACGTTTACTATTATATTTACAGAGACAGTTTTTGTCGTATTATTTTATTTTGTTGTATTTATCTGCGACACCTTAAAGGCCGTGAAGATAGTGTCTGACATGAAACCGGCCCGTGGCTGCTGTGATATGTGACACACTGTCTGAGATTGGCACGATGACGTTTTCTTTATTAACATGACTGAAGTCATGATAAGTGGAGGACAGTGGGTGGATAGACTGTACTGTAGTATTTTACGTGTGGACTGTGTACCACGATTGGACGAAGCCTGGATGAGTCTGGAAAGTGAAGCCAGAGGCTCGAACAGGCTTTTCGGGGACCTGGTGGTGTTTCAGCTGCGCCCCCACAGACAGCTGTTCACGAGCCTCTCAGTTCACAATAATTCAGCTGTTAGGTGCTGTGATTGTCAGCGTCACATCTCTCCACCCGTCAGATCCACAAAGTGCTGCACAAGCCAGTTACATTATCACACAGCAAAGACGATGGTTTTGTAACCTGGTAACAAGAGTTTGAGATAAGTTCACGAGCTCTTTCCTCATCTGGCAGCCATAGTTACCAGTTACCTTTATTTACTTCTTATATAATCTTACAATGTGGAGAATGGATCTTTGAAAGGCAGAATCTTCATTCGCTGCACTTATTATTTAAGTTAAATATAATCTCTCTGTACTTGACACGAGCTTTAAATAGACTGCCAGGCGAGCGTTAAATGATGCACTTAATCTTCAATTTAAGGCCAACTGTTGCCTTTTTCACTCGGTGCTTTGTTTGTTTCCTCGTGTGGACGACATTGAATACTTGTACACTCCACTGGAGCGCCGTCAGAATAATAGCATCGTGTGAATGTGAATGAATGTCAAAGATGTAATGAAGAATATTCTCAACGAGTCTAAATGATGACTGCAATTAACGCAGAACTGCAGCTTCCACACAGCCACGAGACACTAGAGCCATTACAGCTAAAGAATGATCAAGTACGACATAATCGGCCAGAGGAATTCAGTGTGCGGATAGCTCTGAACATTAGTGAGGGAAGCTTCATTTTACCATGGAAATGTCCTTATATCAGACAACACTGCAGATCGCCCTCATCCTCACGATGTGACAGTGTCTCAGGTCAGGTTTTATCCTCAGATCATCTTTGCTGGGACAGAAAACATGTATATCAATGACACTGTTACAGGAAATATAAACCCAATCTGCAGCTACAAGCTGAAACCGATAAAAACTAAATGCATAAATACTTCCGTTCATTTTTAAAGTAGAATTTTTGATAGACGTCCTGTGAAGTATTTTGGGGGCAGAGTTTGATCCATATGCCCACCGATCAAATGTCACTCGTTAAAGAAGCAAATCTGCAGCAAAGTCTGAAACTTGCTGTAATTTCTAATGAGATCAGCTTCAGAGACATATCAGGCTGAGAGTCTCAGTAGACTTTCTCTGGATGTCACAGACAGTCAAAATGCTACTATAGAAGGAAGTAGGTCTCCTATTGGCTGCTTTTTGGGGTTCATGTCACTAAAACCTTACCTTGTTACAAACTCATCCTCACACGGGCAGGAGAATGAGAGCTGAACAAAGAAGAGCAATGCTTCTCACACACAGTAACATGTGACACACAGTGTGTCTGACGTCAGTGTAATTATAAACCGAGCGAGTCTTGGATCTGTTACAGCGGTTTCATTCTTCTCCTGCCGTCACCACAGAATCACCAGCTTCACTTTCAAACTGCCACAAAAGGTTTCATCACCTCTGAGAGAAGAAAAAAAACACTATCAGGTGAAATGAATGAGTCTTATCTGTTATCAGTTATGTAGCACGTGCAGCAGGTTAGTGTGATTGAGGACAGACGTGGGAACAAGTGAAGAGTGTTGAGAAGATGTAAGGAGTACTTTGGGGAGCTGAAGAGCATCGAAAATGAGAGAGAGAGAGAGAAGAGGATGGATGGAGGACAGTAAATCAGAAACCAGTCGTGGACCTCTGCATCCACAAAAGATCCACGATGTCCTTTCATTCCTGAATAAACCAGATTAATCAGAGCTGACCTGAAGAATCAATCCAGAGAGACCCAAACACGAACATCGACAGCAGCATGAGCTCGCTGCTTTATCTTACCATTAACAAGCGCTCTCCGTGGGACAGAGCAGAAATGTAGTAGTAAGAATGCACCAGCATAGACTCACTCTGCTTTCACGACACATTTATTGAACAAAAACAGAGAAAGATGCTGTTTACGTGCTGTCGGCATCAGCGAGGAACAAATAAGGACACATTTACACACAAATGAAGACCTGTGGTGATTTAGAGAGAAACGGAACGATCTGGACCGAGTCAGAAAGAATCCACTGACAACTAAACGAAATAAAAGCAATAAACCTTTCGGCTGCCCTGCACATAATGTGGAAATGTGCTTTCTGCATAAATCTTATTTGTGATGATCCAGAAAATTCAGAGGAATGATCACAGAGATCAACACATTCAAATCATTCTGGCTGACGAGGAGAACAGTGGGTGTTTCCTCCTCACGTGTTTGATTACAGCTTCCCCTACAGCCCCGGCAGGTACTTAGGAAACACTTCCACATGTCCCAAATATGGGATTCATAAAGTATTTCTTATCTCATCATCGTCTCATTTCAGTTTTTTCATCACTAGATGTGCACTAGCTTTATAAAGAGCATCATCATCTGGTCCCTGCTCAACCCTGAATAGGATAAAAGATGAAGAAGAGGAAAGGATGACTTCATCTTTTTACATCTTTCATCCAGTTTCTCCACATTTGATAAATTCTCTTTGAATTACTGCTAATATTTCAGTTGCATTTGATTTGAAATATGTTTAATTAGTTCAGCAACTCTCTAAAAAAACTCCACACATCTGTGGGTGGAGTCAAAATGCTGTAGTTCTGTACAGTCTTATGCCACAGGGGGGCGCTATACTGACAACAGAAAACAAAAAACAAAATCACTACTATCGCACTAAAGGTTAGAAACACAGTTCCACCTTGAAAGCTCAGGCTTGTTAGGATGACAGTAATGTGTAATACCAGCATAAAACTGTAAATCTCTCTCCTGCTTTCAGCTGCTCTGTCAATGTTCTGCAACCACCTGCAGTTTTGACAGCAGTGAACCAAAGTGTCCTTACCAAGAACGGGTGAATAATTCTAACAATCAACTTACAAAATATTATATTTGAGCAAAACAGCAATTTGAGTTTCACTCAATCTGTTTTCAGACTTCAGAACAAAGTCAGTTTGATTCCTCCTGAGATGTGTTTATGAAATGTTTGCAACAAACAAAGAGTCGAATGCCGGATTGAAGCCGTCTGCAGATCAATGTGGCGCCGGCTGACCCTTAAATAGGGTTTGATTAGAGGAGAGAAGGAAGTGATTGGAATGACTTTCGAAGAGCAGCAGAAGCAGCTCTGTGTTTTGCATTTAATGTGTTTCAATCGTTTACAAGTCGAAAGCTCTTTGAGTGCAATTAATCACAAGATTGCTTCACTCACAAGCTGCTTTTATTCATCGGTTTTCTAAATGAAGCCAGTTTGTTTATTTGCACGGCAATAAAGCGAACAAATGAAAGCAAGTAGATAAATATGTGTTTTTAATGATCAATTATCCTTCAAAGTAAAAGAAAGCCAATCAAATGTGATCACAATGAACGTTCCAACAAAACCCTTCAATCAGCTATTTTCAAGCTTCCATACAGCAGACTCACAACTTTTTACTTATTCCCATTTGAAGTGTTGCCTTTGTGAGTCAACCAGTTGCTGTTGTTATGTTTACTTCATGTTTCTCTGTCTCCTCGTTCAGTCTGTAAAGCTGCCAAAGCAGACTTGGTCTTCCTGGTTGACGGTTCCTGGAGTATCGGAGATGAAAACTTCCTGAAGATCATCCGTTTCCTGTATAGCACCAGTGGAGCTCTGGACCGGATCGGCCCGGAAGGCACACAGGTACCACCGAGGGCGGCGTGTTAGCCTTTAGCAAGCAGTTCTCTGAGAGCTTTGGCGTGTGTTGCTTCTGGTAGCTCTCAGCGCCGTGCTTTGACTGACAGGTTGTTGACAGACATGCCACAGAAATACCAGAAAAACAATGACTTGATGGGAAAATGTGCCTGAGGCACAGCAGGCTCCTCGTCCTCACTGTGGATGGTGGAGGTTTGCCGCGCGCTGCTTTGGCAGCACAATGAAAGAGATCATCAGTGGCGGTGTCAGCGCTGACTGTGGGTGGGGCCATCTACAGCCCACTGCACATACCACACCTGTTTTATCAATGTGTGATACAAATACAGTTTGCAGAAAGTGCTTTAGCAAAAATATAGATGTACTACAAAAACGTGTCTATTATTGGTATGAAGGTGTGTTATGAATATATATATATGCTATAAGTTTGTACAGGCTGTGAACAGGATATAAATATGAGAACTATACAGGAATATGAACTATACAAGTTCTATAATTATAACTATAATTATTATTGTACAGAGTGATTGTCTGTACAGCAGCTGCAGTGAGATATGTGGCTCCTACAGAGGTTCTATGAAGTGCTGGTGGGTCAGTCCCTGTTATTATTGTGTGTATGAGGGTCCAGTTGTTTGTTTTTGTCCAGTGTGTGTGTGTGTAGGTGGTTGTGGGTGTGTTTAGTCCATGAGTTTAACGCGGGTCAGCTGTCAGGAGGCCGAGGAGTCTGACAGCTGTAGGGAAGAATCATCTCAGCAGGCTTGAGGTCAGGTGACTGTTCGTACGTCAGAGAGCTTTTACGTAAACGTATCCAACAACTATCCAAGTAAGTTCACACAGTGTGGAGATAAACAGCAGTGACCCCAGCAAAGCTGCTTCCCTCTCCATCACTGCTCCTCCACCCTCCACACATGCAGGGACCGTCCTCTCATCTGTCTCACGAAGAAACCACAGCTGGATTCATCAGTGTCACATTGCAAATGTGACACTGATGAATCCATTGGTTTAATTCCCATCTTTATAGTCATGATTCTCAGCAGTTCTCTTATTATTATTCTTATTATTATTATTACTGCCGGCCTGTGTAAGTCGTGATTGTCTGTAGCTGTTAATGTGGAGACGTTTGTTCTAACGAAGACCATTTCACTCATGATGTAGCTGCATATTGAAAGCGGCCTGTTTATGTTTGCCAACACTATCATTGATGCATCACAGCTGATCATATGAAATCAAAATCATCTTTGTGGAAAGACTTTTCTTCTTACCAGATCACATTTGATTTATCTTGAGTCATATCTTCACTATTGTGGGACGTGGCAGGAATAAGACTACCACGTGCACAGAGCGGCCTCCTGGGTAATTCAATTGTAAAAAATCTTTAATCTTAAAGATTTGATTTCTCGTGGTTGTTTCTTTGGCCTCGCTCGGACCTCTTCATCTAAATGAGTTTCCCCGTCATCTGTAGGAGTGTCTGATGCACCGTAGATGCAAAGAAAAGGGAAACTTTCCAGGACAAACTAGAGAAAGAGAACCAACTGTTTACATACAGCAGTTTTCTCCCAGTTGAGCTAAACCTCTTTTTCACTCCTGTGTTCAGAGCCTCGGTGTAGCGAGTCAGCACCAGCGCCAAGTTTCCTGTAAGCTGCTCTCATTTAGATTTTTTGTTATTTACAAATAAAGAATGTTCCTGAGTGGTCTCCCAGGTGGCCACAGCCCACTTCACTCATGAAACAGCTCATCTGCACGCTCTGTGTTACAGCTGCTCACGTGTCTGTCAGTGCTCCTCTTTCCTCCCCGTTCAGCTCCGTTCAGTCACAGTGGCATCAAGTAGCGGCTCAGTTTGTCTGAGCTTTAGAGAACATTGTACATACTGTCTTTAAATGCTGTGATATACTGTAGAACAAGCGTGTATGTGACAAAGTAAACAAAGCAGAAGGTAAATATGAACGTCAGCATGATTTTATGAAGCAGTCTAGACTAAGAGCTGTGGCTCTTTCTGAACAACAACCTGGATGTCGATCAAAGTAACTGGAAAAATCAAATCTGCCCTAAAGAGGGTTAAACAGGCTCTCACTAGCAGCTCAAGCACACTGCCAGACTGATCCACTGGTGCTGGCCAAGAGCTCGCTGAGTGCTCCACCCAACTCACTGATTCCTGTACCTGAGGCAGCGAGCAGCAGCACACAGCCAGCCACAGCAGGTTCAAGCAGGAACAGATGGAGAAGGAATACAAACGTTTTGAGTTCAAACAAACAAAAAATAATTGCTTAAAAATATGTAGCGTGGGGTTAATGTACCTCACTGTTTTAAATTATTCCATCTTACACAGCCTGAGTCTTTGCCCGCTGCAGGCGTATCATCCGCCCGTATTATCTCATACTTTATTATTGAAAACAAAACTCTATCCTCCATTTTTCATAGTTTTTAAATGTAATAATTCTTAAAGACCTGTCCAGTAATAACCTGACTTGTTAGGAATGATTTTGACGGGAGAATCGAGGCTCTCGTTGCAACCCTCCTCCGTCTCCATCCTGGGCATCATTATCCTTCTCTGCTCTTTGTGGTCGTTGCAGTCGCTCTGTACCAGCCCGGGCTGTGATGCTGATCACGTGTAGTGATGCTGAATGTGGTTTCAAATAGAATCACGGTTGTATAAAAGTAATACAAACATGATGTTCACTTTCTAAAGGATGACCCCATTCGAGTCTAAAAGGAGGATTCATGGAGATCAGCTTTTCTGTATTCTGTGAGGGTGCTTCTTCTCATAGTCTCCTCCTAACCCTCGTCTCCTTCACCTAACAGTGGCCTACTTCCTCTTTTGGTTTATTAGCTACGTTCATGTGTTTTGTGACAGGTGGCTATTGCCCAGTTCAGCGACGATGCCCGGACAGAGTTTAAGCTGAACTCCTACAGTGACAAGGAGGGTCTGCTGGACGCCATCAACAAGATCTCCTACAAAGGAGGAAACACTAAGACAGGTGAGGACGCGCACAGCATGCAGGCTGCTGCTTTTCTGTGAAAGCACTGTGTATGAGTCACTGACGCTGGACGAGCGTGCTGCTGGAGTCTGCTAGAGTTTCAGGATGACAGATGTTGGCGTGCGCGCTTGACGCCGGTGCGATACAGTGTACGAATGTATACAAGCTGTGCGACTGTGACGGATCCAATCCGTCTTTACCGCGGCAGAAATAATCTCTAAATGTGAGAAAGACGCCTGGTCGAGACAAATCCACAGTGTAACGTGCACACGCTCAACACAACTCCCTCGTGACGTTATCAATGCTACTGAGCAGGAGGCGACCGCAAACAGAAAATTAAATCACTGTGGAAAAGTGTGTTGTCCTCTCGGCTCTGTGTCAACATGCGTGTGCAAGTCGAGCGTGTTCATGCATAGTCTTATTCATGGATGTGTGTGTGTGTGATGAGAGGAAGTCTGCAGGGAAGCAGTGAGAGTCATTAATCGCTGTTTACAAAGCAGCGCGGGCGGTTTCTCCTACAGGAATGAGACTGAGGAGAATAGATTTGTAACAGCGTCACCGGTGGGGAGGAATTCTCCCACTGCTGATGCGTTGCTGTAAAACACTAATCCTCCGTTTCTCACAGGAAGCAACAGTTTCTGGGATCGCCGCGTTGCAATTAGTGCTTTCTGTTGTTTCCAGAGGCCTAGAAAACGTCTGATCTCTGGATGTACTAACGGCCGTGCAGCAGCCTCACATCCAGGCAGGTGCTCATGGATTTGTTAATGACTCAGTCAAGCTGTGGTTTAAGGTGTGGGTCTGAGTAAATATACAGAAAAGAGACAAAAGAGGCTCAGTAGATGATCATTATTTGACTTTATGGGTTTTTTCCATTTATGCACTAAAGACATAAAGTGCACTAGTTCCAGAGTTTCCTGATTCTTAAGCAACATGAAGACGCGGCGCCGGGAAACGTCATGACCAAACACCAAAGAAGAAGACACAAGTCAAGAAACAGCTTATAATCACAATATATAACAAAAATAGACATAATAATACTACTAAAAATATAGTCATCTTCATCATTGCTCATTATGTTGGCCGTTGCTTTGTTAATTCTGCAAAATGAAATGAATATTAAAGCCTATGAAACAAATATGAAGCAGTGGAAAAACCACATGAGCCTGTATGAGCACATTTATAAGGCATGAAAACAGAAACATTCAAATAAACATCTAAATATTAATATGTGATGGTAACTGTTGGTAGTAATGTGTAAAATTTGATCATAGTTGAAGAGTGTGAGTCAGTCGGGGGTCCCGGGTGTCTGGTGGGTGTCTGAGCCTGCAGCACAGTGGCTCTGCAGAGTGGGGGGGGGCAGCCTTAGATGTTGAGCTGGTCCTCCAGCTGCTGCAGAAACATGAATTCTCTTCACACATTCAGTGAAACTTGTGATGTGATTTCCCTGGTGGGACGCTCTGATGCAACACTCTCTGATGTCCTGTACATCAGCAGGGCATGCATCAATAATCCTGTCCTTTCATCACGATTAATGCTACAGTTTGGAGTCAGATCTTCATCCTGCACTGATGAATAATTAGCATGAATTTTGAAATTAACTGATCATGTCAAGTTTATGTCGTACAAACCCTTGCGCTTCCTTTCTTTCATGTTTTTAATACTTAACTCTGTAAACGGGGATCCTCTGAAGCTGATGGTGCTGCAGGATTTTCTGACTTCCTCTCAGAATAATGTCTGCAGCTGAAAATTGATTAATTTTGATTTCCCATCACTGCCAAGTCCGCTGTGACAGACCTGCAGCTCCGCTAATGACTTTTTTAACCAGAACAGATGGTGTGAAGTCAAATCAGCATAATAAAAAAATCCTCTGGTAATAGACATGTTGTTTCAAATAACTCGTCTGCTGCTGTTTCTCAACTACTGAGAATACGAAGCTGAAAACTAAAAGTAGAATATTTGGAGTTATTGGAGATGGTTGTTCTGTCTGCTCACTCAGGTCGAGCCATCCAGCACGTGAAGAAAAACATCTTCACAGAGGAGGCGGGAGCGAGGAGAGGAATCCCCAAAGTCCTCGTGGTGCTCACTGACGGTCGATCTCAGGATGACGTCAACAAAGTCTCCAAAGAGATGCAGATGGAAGGTCAGTTGTTTCTGTGTGAAGCTCTGAAGAAGGCCTAGAGCTGCGGTCTGTGTTACTGGAAGGCCAAACTTCATCTGCTCCTCCAGTTTTCCTGCAGTTGGAGACATGGATCTTTCTCTCTCTGAATTCCCATCAAAGGTTACATCGTGTTTGCCATTGGTTTCGCTGATGCTGACTACGGGGAGCTGGTGAGCATCGCCAGTAAACCCAGTGACAGGCACGTCTTCTTTGTGGATGACCTGGACGCCTTCAAGAAGATTGAAGAGAAGCTGGTGACCTTTGTGTGCGAAGCTGCTACTGCCAGTGAGTCCCTGACCTGACGTTAGAGCTAAATGTAATCCTGAAGAGATCCCTGCACTGGACATTATAGAGTAAATTATACAACATGTGGTGCTTTTTCCGTACATTAATAGAAATGGTTGAATGTGGTGGTTTTTAAATATTTGTCATCAGACTCACTTTTTGCCTTTCCCAGCGTGTCCGGCTGTACCGATGAGTGGCAGCACGATGCCAGGTAAGAGCTGGAGCGCTACTGCAGCCAGCCTGCTGTGTCCATGTGTCCATGTGTCCACGTGTCCACGTGTCCACGTGTCTCAGTTATGAGTGCTTACAGAATAACTTCAAATAGGAAACAGAATATAAATCAAGTGTGAGCTGTGGCTTTAATGTGTTTGGATGAACACAATAATGTTAAAGCTCTAACCCTTCATTTCAAACAGTATGGAGAGCCAACACTGCCAACACATGTACAAACAAATAACTTAAACAACGGAGAATGTTGTTCATCAAAATGTCATTAATCATCAACATATCATTCTTTTTTATTATTATATTTAACTTTTCAGAATAAGCTGTTGCTCTGTTTTATTTCTTCTGTATTTTTTCTTTTCATTTTAATACATTTTAGTTATTTGTTTTATTTTATTAGCATAATTTACATATCCTCTTTTTGTGTGTTTTGAATAAATGCAAAATCAAATTAAATGGTATCTGTTTATCTGACATGAATAAATAGATTTCTATTGGTTTTTGCTGCATTTATGTTCATTAAAAATGCAGCAATACATTTGCTGAATATGAGTAAGGGCCAGTATTTAACAGATGGTGTTTACTGTTAGCAGAGACATCTGTGGTATCACATCAATATCTTGCTGGGCGAATTGAAGCTCTGAAAGACAGAACAGGGCAGATATGTTTTATAATGAAGAGCTCTGACAAACGGCAACAACAGCTGAATAAAAGATATTAAGCTATTTGTTATTCAAACATCATCATCAGCCCCAGATTTCACAGTTGGCACATGTTTGTATTATATTATATTATATTATATTATATTATTATATTATATTATTGAGTCACTTTGTTATTTCCTTGTAATTATTTTTATTTTTGGCAGTTTTGGCCCTCTATACTGGTGAAAACTGGTATGTTTAAAATGATTGGCTGAATTAAATATCTTGTATCCTGCTGTCATGTCTTGTATGTCTGGACTGCTTTTTCTGCAGCTCTATATTTCTTTACTTACAAATGTACAAATACTTCCTGAGCTTTTTTGCTGCTTTTCTGCTTGTTGTAACTTGTTGAGAACTCATTGAAATGGTTACAACAGGTGATAATTGCTGCTTGTGTCATCAGGCTTTCGCATGATGGAGCTGTTCGGGCTCGTGGAGAATCGGTACAGCAGCATGTCTGGCGTTTCCATGGTACCCGGCACCTTTAACACGTTCCCCTGTTTCCACCTGCACAGCGACGCGCTGCTGGCACAGCCAACCAGGTACACAGGACACAGTCTCCACACTCATAAAAATAGCACCTTATTTATTGGAAGTTTCACTGCTGCACCTTGATGGAAGAGACATCATAGCATGTTTTTCAAAGACAGATGAAAGTGCAGCAAATAGCTTCTGGAAGGAGAAGCAAGCTTTGATTTCACCAGCTGAGTATCAGCATCCAGAGCCCATAACCCTCACTGTTTGACCTAAAAGAGACATCACCAATGAGGACGTTTACCCGGCTCTGATGTTTTCACCCTGGCTCACAGGTACATCCATCCTGAGGGGCTGCCTTCTGACTACACCATCACCCTGCTGTTCAGGCTGCTGGCCGACACTCCCGAGGAGCCTTTTGCGCTCTGGGAGATCCTCAACAAGAACAACGAACCTCTAGTGGGCGTCATCCTGGACAGTGAGCTGAGACGTGTTTATTTGTTTCCACTTTATTTCTAGACTCAAACCTACCAAAATAAATCAGTGAACACAGCATATTTACCTGATGTTAATGAAAAGGAGAGTCGGGTACGGTGCAAGCTGCTGTTCTACTTCTGTTAAACTCGAGTTAAAATTCTGAACAAGATTGTTGCTTCTTATAAATGTTGTGTTTTATTTGTTGATTTATGTTTTTTTAATTCTCATGTTTCTTCCTGCAGATGGAGGAAAAACTCTGACGTTTTTTAACAATGACTTTAAAGGAGAGTTTCAGACGGTCACCTTCGAGGGGCCGGAAATAAAGAAGCTCTTCTTTGGAAACTTCCACAAGGTCAGAATCACACCTGACCTCCGCTGTCTGTTTGCCTGACACATGGATGATGATCGTCTGATTGGCTGACAGGCTAGAGAATAATTTGAACTTTAACCCTTAAGTATTTACCAAGATGATGTGTGACATAGTTGTTGTACAGTCAGCAGAAATCATACTAGCAAAATATTTTATAAGCAATATTAAAAACACAGTGAAGACCAGTGGAAGCTGGGACAATGTCTGTCTGTCCTGCACATTAACATACAGTCTGTGGCCTGATGGAAGCTCCTTTGATAGCTAAATACAGCTGCGTGCAGGTGTGGGAGGTCCTGCATGCTGCAATCACACGTTGAAGGTGCTTTTAGTTTTTAGGGTGGGGTAAACCGAACCCGCTGACAAAGGAACATGTAAAAACAAAGCAGATGCAAGAAATAGTTTGTGATGCGTCCAAGAGGGAAAACGTGTTGGTGGAAGTGTTTGAAGCAATACAGGTCCGGTAATATTTTACTGAGATTTTAAGTAAGTAAAGTTTATTTATTAAGCGCTTTTCATAGACAGGCAGTCACAGAGCTGAGCATGAAGGGTGAAATAAACAGGTTAAGTGATGAAATAGAAAATATAAGCAATAGAAAGGGTTAAATGTTTAAAAGCGTTGATCAACTGAAGGCTTGTTTGAACAGAAAAGGTTTTATCTGCTTTCTAAAGGATTCCACAGAGTCAACCAATCGCAGCTGTGGTGGTAAACTGGTCCACAGACTGAAAGGCTCCGCCCCCTTTGCTCCAACAAACTCTGAGCCTGTGAGCAGAGGCAACGAGTATTAATAATCTGGGGCCAGTGTACTTGCTAGAAGATGTTAGTAGCCTGGCTGCTGCGTCTTGTGTAGTTTGGAGGTGATGATTGTAGGTGGTCAAACATGCTGAGAAACTTTCCCTTCTTTAAGTCTTATTGGTGTTCTTATGCAGTGGATTGCTTAAAATTATATAGATGTTTTTCCTCTGGTTTGTTGACTGACAGCTTCACAGGTTTCTATTGACAAGCTCCGGTCCTTCCCTCCTTCCCTCCCTGCACTCGTTCCTCTGCCACGCGAGGCCCTGTCGAGCAGTGTGACAGTAGTGGAAGTCCTGACAGGCGTACTGTAGTCGAGTCATGCCCCGAGCCTGAACCTGCTTGCAGTCGTGTTGTGTTTTTGTCGGCGTGTCAGAGCCGAGGGACGCTGACTGATCTGCTGTCTGCGCGCTGTCAGCAGAGCTTATCCTCCTTACCTTTTCACCCTTTGTTCTGCTTGCTCTGCAAGTGTGTGCGCGTCTGCCTCTGCATACATTTTTAAATCCTAGACCAGCATCTGCAGCGCCTACCTGACAAGTCTGTGTGACATTTGTATAGGACTCTGTGATTATGGATCAGAGGACTCAAATGATTTGATAGTCAGCTCAGTTTGGCAATTATCCTGCTTTTAAGTACTTTGAAGATTAAAAAAGTCTCCTGTAAGTTCTCAAGTTCACTTTTTCTTAAACTTTTTCTCAGTTATTTGACAAACGCAGGATGTGATGTGTTGTAGTGGCTAAAAAACGGACATTTGGAAACATGACTGAACATCTACACTGCACACACTTACTGAGAGCACACATGTGGGCATCCACAGCTTTAAACCTGGTTTACATGTTCCAAAAAAAAGGTTTTAGGTTCTATCTCTTTAAGACCGCCCACTTAAAGATCCCTTTCTTCTGATTGGCTGCCCTCACTGGTTTCCTGTTCTTGAACATCTGGATGTTAGTGACATCATCATGCAGTATGAAGAAAGGTCTGCAGTTGCTCTTGTTTCATCATTATTATTATTAGGAAGTTGGGGATGTGTAGAAATTCTAGTCCCGTCCTTCCAAATATAAAACTCATGTTAGCTTCAGTGCAACACGTTCAGCTCTTCAGCTGCGGTGACTTCCTTCTCACTTTCTCGCTGTATTAACATTAAATTTAATGTTTAATTCCAAACGCAACACAACATTAACCAAAGTCGACATCAAACTGTCGAAGAACCGCAGATTGATTTCTGCAGTGGAAATGAATCTGACTTTTGCAGGCATTAGTAATCTGAATTATTATAATCATTTTTTCAACCCATAATTTTGCAGACTATAATTATCTGAGGATGCAAAGCAGCCAGAAAAGTATTTCATCCAACATTAAGATCCCACCTAAAAGTAAAAAAGTGTGTTTATCTCCTGTGATCCAGGTTATTACAGGAGCTTTGAAGGCTTCACAAACGTTCGTCTCCAGCTGTCGGAGAAAATAGAAACATTTCTTCATCCGTGCGTACGTGTCATAATTTGATGCAGGCATATAGAAACTCAAATTACAGAGCAGACTTTTTGGGTTTACAGCCTGTTGTCTTTATAGCAGCATGCGTATGTTTAGCATTTTGAGTGTTCGCTCTGCCAGGATAAACATAGACCCTTTTAACAGTTTAATTTGCACTTTTCAAAAGTAGCGAAACACGAACAAACAACTCGGATGGTCCAAAAACAGCTTCTCTGTAAACCGCATCACTTTCACCAACGCACAACAGTGCACTTACAGACGGAGGTCAGTGGGGTTTCAAGGTGTGTTAGTGTGTGTGCATTTGTGTGTACTGCTGCTGTGAAACCAGCAGAGTCGCTGACGGCAGCCTGGTGGTCTGCTGCGATATTGGGAGAGGAGGGGTAATGGTGTCGAGGAGCCACTCGGAGGAGACGGGCGGCGTTTTATCCGCCTCGCAGTTCAGCTCTCGACTGTCCGTGATGGTGACAGTAATACCTGTGTGTGTCTGTGTGTGTGTGTGATTATAAATAGTGATGTCACTCAGTGAGATAATCTTAGTCTCAGTCTACTCTGCTGGTTTGTGTCCCAGTTCCAGCTCAGGCTGTGCAGCTGCTGTAACACTGTCCTGTGGGAACAGTGCAATGTGCTCCCTGTGGGGTGTTTTTCCTTTAACATAAAATTAATTGGATGTGGCTCATTGCATTATTTTATTCCAGCCAAATATCCTTCAGTTCTCTTTTAACCTTATTAAAACAGTTTATTAGCTGCTGTGTGTTTTAATGCACATTTAAATGCAATTTAATAATAATAATAATTTAATTATATAAGTGCTGGAAACAGTTCAAATATAGTTGTACTCTGTGATATTCTGTTCCTGTTCTGTGGGGCTTTTTAGCCTCCCTGGGTGAAGGTGCAAAGGTCAAAAATCCCCTTTGACAGAAAGAGGACAGACCTGTGCCTGGACTGGTGACTGAGAGGAAGGAGAAAAGAAATAAGTTCACATGTGAAGTAAGAGAGAAGTCGTGCGAGGTCTCCCAGCAGTCTGAGCTGTAATGTTAAATCCTTTGAGCTGTTCTTGTGTGTTTAATGTTTGTGCACTGTTGGTGCTCGGTGTTATTCGACTGTTCCTGTGTCAGTGTGTGAGCACCGCACTGACAAACATGAAGAACAGCTCGGTCATGTTACGGCTTCACAGGAAGAGGGCGCTGTTCTCCTACTTTCTGCAGGCCGAGACGTCTGCAGGGCTTCTAAATGCTGCTGATGTTTGTGAGGAGTCATAATCATCACAGATATTAATAATAATTGCTTCTTTATTAACAGCATTTATCACTTGTTTTGCATTCATGTTTGGACCTCTAAAACTTTAAACGAGTGGCTGTATCTCTTCCTTCTCTGCAGCTTCACCTCGCCATCAGTAAGACGAGCGCCAAAGTGTTCGTTGACTGCAAGATGGTGTCTGAGAAGACCGTCAACGCAGCAGGAAACATCAGCACTGATGGGCTGGAGGTTCTCGGTAGGATGGTCCGCTCCCGAGGGAACAAGGACAACTCTGCACCGGTGAGAGCAGCACGCACACAAATACTGTGAACTGCAAAGGAAGCTGCTGGTTTGAGCCCCTGCTCCCTCTAGTCTGCATGTTGAAGTGTCCTCGGGCAAAATACCGAACCCCTGATGAGTCCATGAAATAGTGAGTGTTGGAAACACTTTGAGTGCTCAAATATAAGAACCAGTCCACACATCGTGGACGTTAGTCTGCTATAAAAATGAAATATCAAAATGTTTCTGCGTGTTTCGGCCTTTTATGTGAGCCCAGAATAAATGTCAGAGTAAATCTCATTCAGTTACATTTAAGGACCCTGCAGTAAGTCAGAGAAAACCCCAAACAATCAGATGACTCCCTGTGAGCAGCACTTGGTGACAGCTGGAAGGACGAACTCCCTTTAAACAGGAAGAAACCTCCAGCTGAGCCCGGCTCACAATGGGGCAGACCAAGATGCACTGTGGGAGCAAACCAGAGAATAAAATTCATTACTAATGGTTAAATGCATCTGAACTGTTGTGACAAAACAAGCTGCTGAAAAAGTAGCAAACGAAAACTGTTGTGAGCCAGCCTCATATCACCTTTGGGCTTTTGGAGCCTTGACCTGACTTTTAAAAAGTTCTTGGAAATAAAGCTCTATGCTGCTAAAAAATTACAAGAAAAATAGATATTTGCAAAATTCTGCCTAAATATGTATTTTACCTGGTTAATGTGTGGCGGGCAGGGCGTGGTCTGCAGCGCCGCTGCAGGGGAGG